CTTAGTTACTACTTGCTGCTGCTTGTTTGTTTAAGGTGATGATGATGATGATGATGATGATGATGATGATGAAAACGAAGATCAGATGGAGTGTTTGGTGCCAAGTATGACAGACCAGAGCAATCGCATACAAAAACAAGATGAGATGATCCGTGGGGATGTGGGTCCTGCTCTCGCAATGTGAGACACGACGGAATTACACAGCACGAAATGAGATAAAGGTGAAAGGTGAGAATAAGGATGAGGGTCCCGCCAGCTGCCCACGACGCGGCCCAGGTGCAGACCAAAGCAGGTACGTTTTCCTGGTGTGTAGGGGAGGGCTGACAACATGTGGGGGCGTGACCCGCTTCAGTTCATGAACGATAACCATGCATAATGCACGCCCATACAGTGCCCTAAAGGGGGCGCCAACCAATCGCACTTGCAGTCACCGACCTTTACTCTAATGCATTAGACGTGCATATGCCGAACTGCTCACACGCACTGGCGAAGGCGGATTTGGGAAGAGGAATCGCAACACAATAGGCAGGACAGAATAGGCGAGGTAAACCTGTGCACACCGATCCCAACAGATGCACATGCACTCAACAACATTAACGGGCTGATTCAGCGTGAAACATGTCAAAGGCTCCCAGAAACGCACATGTCGACTGCCTTGCACCAATCGGAAGCTGCTGTGCGGGCGCCACACCCCAGTGTGTTCATGTATATTACTTCTCCCAGACGCAAGCACGCGAGCACTTCCGACTGCCATGACGTGCAATCGGTATGAGGCCCTTGCAGTGTTCTAAGACGGCAGACGCTGTAAAATACTTGGGCATGGGCTCATCTTCCACGATTTCGACCACCTTGACTGGACATTGCAGCCGGCGATTGTTCCAAGCCGGCCCCGCAGCTGTTGTTGGATGATGAACGTCTGCTTCGTACATTCCGGAATTGGGGAAGCAATCGCCGCGGAAGCACTTTAAACGTGCATGATGCTTCTTCAGTGACCCTGAAGAGGAGCAGTCCTGTTTCATCATCAGACGGTGGGGCAGGTCAACAACGTGAACGTGTCGCAAGCCGATTACAACAAGCGACTGGAGAGCATCAACATCCTCTCAAAGGCAGTCGTGCCACGAAAAATCATTGCTGTCCCACGCTGGCTCATGAGATCTGCGAAGGTGCGAAACTTTCTGGTCTTCCAGGGAGATGTGGAGGCTACAGCGCAGCGCCAGGGAAAGGAGCTTCACGCATCATTCGAGCATCACGGTGTTCATGTTCTCGAACTCGACATTGCGACATAGCACCATCGATGCTGCAGAGGACTTGACCGCCTTCTTCGAGCAGATCTCTGGTTCGGACTCTTATCGTCAGGTCGGAGTTGTGCATTCAGAGTTGGGTTGTTTGCTTTTGTTTGCTCCTGTGTTCGAGCGTTGTGCTGCATCGAGTTTATAAAATTTAACAATTGGTCCAGTGCAGTCTGTACGGGTCAAGCGCTTGTGTTGCCACAGGACTATGACAACCTGGCGGCCGAGAAGGCAAAGCTGGAGGAACAAGCCCGGTGCGCAAAGCCCCTGCGTGCCAGTCTGTCTCGACTTGCACTCAGTGGCACTGGCAGGTATCTTTTTACGAAAAAGCGAAATGCTATCAACGAGCGCAAACGAATTTCGCAGCAGAAGGAAGAAGCAGACGAGTGACCTGCCATGATATGCCACGGTGTTCGGCTCTGCCAGTGGGCGGCTTTAGTCGTATTGTCATCATGGAAATGTGTGCGGCAGGAGTATCTCAGAGTTCACAACATGATGATACATGAATGTTTGCTCAAGCTCGATGCGCTACGATGGAGCTCATTCGCAATCCAGGTACCGCCACCTTGAAACGCAACGGAACGACCTTCAAAGGGAGTATCTTCTCTTCAGGTTGCACAGCTCTGCGCTTAAAACGGCCCGCTGCACAACCATGCAGCACATGACACCACCCGAAGTCTCAGGTCTTTGTGCGCAGCTAGACAGTGCAGCGGAGACGCGAGATGCCGCTGTAAAAGAGCGTGAGGAGATGCATTGAGCCATCTTAAGCTTTAGCATGCCGAAGACTGCCTTTCGCATTGGAAAAGCAAGCCTGGCACTTCATCATTGTTCGAGGAGCTGCGTGAACAAGTGGAAGTTGGCAAGAGAGAACTGGAGGCAACAGCATCGCAAAAGCTGCTTGGTAGTTCGCTTGGAAGTGGGTCGAAGAAGCGTTGTGAGGGTGGCGATCGGCGGCGTGCACAAGCGCGGTTGGCAGTGCAGCAGGCAGGGCTCGCCCCACGGAGATCTCATGTGAGTTTAAGAGAGAGAGACAAGGAGCGATCTGCGAGAGAGAGAGAGAGAGCTCCCCTTGAAAAACAAAATAGTTAGGTGGTTCTCTGCTCGAAATCCCCGGCCCACATCGAACAAAGCTCTCACACATGGACCGCGCCACCAGTGCGCGCACGCGCGCAGGGGGGGTGCAATGCCCTTCTCTTGACTGTGTGGAAGAAGCTCCCCTTGCCCCAGCCCTGACGAAAGAAAACGAAAGCCTGGTAAAAGAAAGAAACACAGATAGAAAGGACACATGTAAAACTTATAAATACAGAAATAAAGAAAGAATGAACGAAAGTAAGAAAGAAGCAGAGCGAGCAGGTCCAGAAGGAATTGAGCGGCTTGAAGGTGAAGGTGGAGTCTTCGACCCAGTTGGCAGTTTCGTGATGTACCTTCAAGGCCCTCTTTGTCCAAGGCGTCTGAATCCCGAACGAGTGGCAAACCAAAGCCGCCAGAGGTTTCTGGAGCAGAGGCGGGTCTGCGGGCCGCAGCGATCCCTAGTCCTGTGCAGAGTACAGTATGAAGTCAACAGATTCCAGGAGCAGCCCTGCCCCTGATTGTACAGAATGTCACGCCAGTGCACTACGAACAGGCTTCACTTTGCCTGTCGCAGGCTGGAGGATATGACGCACTCTGCCGAGCAAGACGGACGCAGGCGAACGAGAATCTGCATGGTAGCCAGGTTCTGGTCCGAGGAGAGAAGAGCTATTCAGTGTTGCCATGGCGGGGTGAGGGGGGCGGGGTTTTGGGCTGAGGGCACTGCCTTCAAAGAGAAGGGGCCAAGGGGGGTGGAGTATGGTTGGGGTGGGGTGTTTGATTTTCGTTCTTTTGGGAGGATTAGCGATGGGGCGGGTGGTCGGGCTTTTCTTGCGGTACACCCCTCTGAGATGTGATAGTGAAAAAGTCACAGTCAGCAGCCAAGAAAAGCCGACACCGATCGTCGATCAGCCTGAGAACAGCCCCGATGGCAGTGAGCAGGCAGAGCAAGCTCCAGGATCAGCTGGAAAGTCTTCGCGCTGCTCTCGGACAGTTGCACGCGTTCCCCAAGTTTCGTAGGTGCTGCACACGTGTGCGCGCGTGTGTGTTTTTATTGTGTGGGAGTCGCAAGGTATGGAGGAGGCGAAGTTGGAGGCTCGACAGGAGAGCCTGAACAAGGGCCTGGCGGAGCGCAAGGTAGCCTTCACAGCAGACCAGCTTGAGGACATCCATGAAGCAGTTCACCCGAAGAGAAACCAGAATTTCTATGTCGAGTTAAAGCAACTCTTGAGGAGTTTGAGCGTGTGAAGCGCGCCACTGAAAAGATCACGGCGGCCAGTGGTGATGAGCTTCGCCAGATCGAGCACCAGGTTCGTGCCGTCCGTGGGGGCCTCAACGATGCCTCAAAGGGGCAGGAGTGAACGATATCGGCATGTGATTCGAAGTCGCCTCTCAGGCGCCGAGCGGATTCAAGCAGAGGGCGATCAGAGGGACGCTCTCGCACGCAAGGGCCACTTGAAGCAGCGTGTCATGGAGTTGAACGAGGCACTTAAGGCTAAAATCGAGTCAGGTGCATACACGTGCGACTGCGACGTGTGAGGCCGAGACGTCCGCGCAGGCTGCACTCGATCGGGGCACGGTTCTGAAGGATGACCGCCTCAGGGAGCTAACGCAGCTGCGGAGCTCCATCAGCAATCGTGGTGACGAGAAAGATCAGCTGCAGCAGGAGAGGCAGCAGCTCATCACTGTTATTCAGGACTTCACAGCCACCGAACGTCAGCTCGAGAAGGACCGTGAACTGTCGCAGGTATGCACAAGCCTGGCAGAGGCCTGTCCGGGAGTCTGTGGCCGGGTTGTAGATCTCTGCAAGCCCTCGCAAAAGCGCCTTCACGTCGCAGTGAACGTGGCCCTAGCGCGATACCTGGATGCGGTGATCGTTGACAGCAGCGACACTGCGAAGGCTTGTGTGCGCTACCTCAAGGAGCGGATGCTGCCTCCAATGACCTTCTTGCCCATGACGGATCTTCGAGTTGCCGGCCTTGACCCGCGTCTGCAAAGCCTCGTCCATAGCCAGAAAGGAGCTTGGATCCAAAGTAAGACAGAAGAGGCCGTCTGTTCTAGAACCTTGCTGTTTACTTTGTCCTGCCCTGACCAGGACTGCGGCTTGCTCTGCATTGCATTGCCTTTGACGAGAAGTTTGCCAGAGCTTTCGATTTCATGCTGGGAGATGTTGTTGTGGTCCGGACCCCGGAACTGAAGTGTAATCTCGAAAGTATGCCTTTCCATCAGCACCTGCTATCCTTCCGTGATTCAAAGTCCGAGTTCGCTCTAGAAGCTCAACATGTAGACCGTACTCTCCTTTGCTCTGCTCAGTTCAGAGGCTGCAGGCCATGATGGCATGCGTTTCAGCTTGTTCCTGACGAAGTCAATTTTTCTGTGAACATCTGTGAACTCCGATGTTGTTGTGCTCAGTGGTATGCATCCTCCCCATCGAGTTGAGTTTCGCAGACCGTGGGACCAGGCCGACACCATGGCCGACGGCCGGCGCCTGGCTTTCGAAGAAGCCCGTAAGCTCGGCGTCACCTGCAAGGTGCGCAGCTCACAGATCGGCCCTTGTGAGACTGCGAGACCCATCTTTCGGCCCTCCCAGTTTCACAGTTCTCGGGCCATGGTTTCAAATCCTCCAGCTGCATCTTCAGGTTGTGACGCTGGCGGGCGAGGCCATTGCCAAGAACGGTAACCTGTCGGTGAGGGCCTCGTGCCAAACGGAATGCTTTATTGCACCCATGGGATCCCGCTGAGCTTTCAAGGGGCACCCAGAGGTGTAGCCATGCATCGATGGAGCTGGCTGAGCTTCTGCATAGCAGCATCGCATGCTTCTCCCAGGTGAACTCTGATGCGACCCAGGAAGGTGCGACGCGCTTTGACCTGACCGAAGTTGAGGCACCGCCAGAACTCGCCGTGGGCAAGCGATGCCACCATGAGTAACACCAGAGTTTCAGTACGCGAGGCAACCCGGTCTCGGCTTGAAGTGATCGACAAGCGACTCTTTGAGCCACTTGGGACAGCAGAAAGACGCAGAAAGGGTTGGATGGGTTGGATCTGAGAAGCCCAAGCTCTGCGCAGCGCACTCACCTTCGTGCTCGCCTCGCAGGATCCATTCCTTGGAGGCCTCGGGTGGTTCCGAAGTGGCGCCTTGGCGTCAAGTCAAGCTCGCAAGGGCTGCAAGGGCATCAAAGCTGTATGAAACAGGCATCAAGCTTGCATTTGGGCGTTTCTATTCGGCTATCTTCAAGGCCACACTGGAGTTTGATCTGCGCCGCGTCGAGGGAAAGGCGCAGGAGATCAACTCAACCGTTCCGAATGCGAACCTCGCAGCAGGGAGGCTATTAATACTGAGTGATGCAGTGAGGATTGAGCATTGAGACTTGTGCCACCTATCTCTGCTAAGACTCTGTTGTATCCGATGACTGGTCGCGTCACACACCCAGTCCGCCGTACCTGCAGGAGATGGCCATACGTTTACAGCGTTGCCAAGACGAGCGGCGGCCCCAGTTCGCAGAACGACTGAGCTGCGTCGACAGCCTCAGTCTGTTCCATGGAAAGTCAGTCTGATCCCGTTGCCATTGTCGGGTCGTCCGCTCCTTCTTGGTAGCACTGAGGTTGAAGCAGAAACGTGAGGAGCTTAGTGCCGTGGAGGCGTCGCTCAACACCGTGCAGCCTGAAGCTCAACGCTTGGCGGCTGAAGAGGTGCGGGCCGGTGGAACATGCGAACATTTGGAGACTTTCCACACCTTCATTTGACCCTAAATTGCACCCCCAAACTGCACCTAGTAAATGCAGTTTGGGAGTGGCAGGAGACAAAACTGTGTCAAACCGACAAAATCGACGCCTTGTGTAAACTTGAGGAACACTTAAAATCTCGAAGGGCCCGGAGCAGCCTCAGCTGGATCGGAAGGTGAGGGGGGCGGGGGTTCTGGCTGCCAGGCACGCCTCCGTGAAGAGCAGCGGAGAGTGGAGGCGGGACTTCTGAGGGCGATAGACGTGGACAAACAAACTAAACTTTTTATTGACGTTGATGCTTTGTGCACTTGCACATGTTCGCTGTGAAGGTACCCCTGCATTGCGTGGACCCGTCAGTCAGCATGACCTAAACAACTGTAAGTTGAAGCCGCATGGGCCGAACGGAGCTACAAGTGAAGCAGCGGTTCAATGCTCACGGGCTGACATGCAAGCCGAACCTCCAAAGGCGAGCTGGGAATTGCATGAAACTCTACTGAGCAACAGTGCGGCAGACGATGCGAGACCGATTTAGTAGAGGGGCTGTATCCGATGATGCAAAGAGAGCATGCGCTCAACACCACGTCACCCGGCAGGAATGCTACGCTGCTTGCAGCGACTGGGGTAGTTCCAAGATCGTCAGCAACATCAGATGCTTCAACAAGAGGTACATCTCCGATATCGCGTGAATGCTGCCAAACCCCTTCCAAAGCCCTGGCCATCGGTACTTCGCAATCTGAGTCAACCTTCGCATGTTGATGGACCATCGAACCCAGCAGTATGGATACAATTGACACGCAGCTCGGCAAACAAGGAGTTCGTATGCTCATGGTGTGCAGCTCGCAGTAGCCTGTGAGCCCAATCGCAAAGTGATTCCTCAAACTCCTGAATGTAGCAGACTCCATCACGGCGGGGTGGTGGAAACATGGCCCCCAGCCCAAGCAAGCTGAAGTATGCCAGAAGCAATGGTGGGCCATGTGCGATGTCCAGCGACTTCGCTGTTATCGGAATGCTAGTACAGAGGACAGTGCCAACATTAGGCCAGTGATGGAAAACACTATGAGACACTGCTACCGCGCGGCCCGAGAAGCATCTCAGATGGTAAGGTTTCGAAGAAAACACTGTTCTGACTGTGCCCCTGAAATAGCAATTGAGGCCGTGTAAAGTTCAAGCTACCGGAACCAACAGGGCCCGATGATCTAGGGTCGATGTGCCTGATTCTCTCTGCCTTTGTTGTGGAATGACTGCCCCTGGCCTACTTGCCCTGCTGCTAGGCGCGGGTTTCGGAGGCCGTTGCAGGAGCCTTAGCCGTGAGGGCAATGCATCCCTTCGCCCACTCGTGCCTTCATCACAGTATGGTGGGGTCCATCTGTTTCTCGATCCCTCTCTCTCTATGGGTCCAGCAATAGCTCCCTCCATGGACACGAGGCTGGACACTTTGCAAATCTGAGCCGTGCTATGGGCGTGGAGGATGTGAGGAAGCTAGAGCGTGACTCTGATGCAAAGTTCGCAGTGACCCACACATCTACCCAATCTCTCTCGCCGATAGCAAGAGACGGCGCTGTCACGGGGCCTCCTCCAAGGACCAACTTGTTGGGACAGGAGTGCGATTTCACAGGTCGGCAGACTGCTAAGGCTACGGTCTCTTTTTGTCGAGGTCGCTGTAAGCAACGGCTGCTGCATCGGAGCATCCGTTCACGGTTTCTGTTGCACATCGTCAAAAGAATCCACTGCGGCAACATTATGCAACAATAACAAGTTTCAAAGCGGGATTCGTGGAAAGGTCAACATGTACAGAACATGTAAACGAAAGGCCCTCCGTGCAGAGCTGACTCGAATCGCGAGGCTTGAACAGGAAAATTACGAACCCAGCCGCCAGCCATCCCCCGGTGCGACCTAATCAGCCCCACCCAGGCGAGTGGCGGCGTGAGCAAGAAGCGGTTTCCTCGCAGATGTCGGAGCTTGAGCGGCGTCAGCGCAACATTAAGGTTGGCACTGTGCTTGCAGGGAGTCCAAGACTTCAGATTCCGAGCAAACCTTATTTATGCCAGTGGCTAGCGGCTTGCGTGTGCTGATCCTTTTCGAACCATGCTTGCCTGTTACCTTCTGCGGAAGTGCTCGGCTCTGCTTTGCAGGCGGAGATCTCCATGCTCCAGCAGACCATTGAGGAGCAAGCGACCAAGGACCCCCAGGAGCTCATTGCGAAGTTTCGAAAGGAGGCACGCCAGATGCAGATTTCTGAATTTAGTATCGATGCCTAATGTTGCCTCAAGTTGCCTCTGTTGAAGTACATCGCTGTTGTACCTTTGCGTCAGGTCACCGAGCTACGTGAGAAGGCTCGGGATGGCTCGGGAGATCAGAAGTGACATCAGAAGGTCTGTCCTGGAGCTGTTCAGAGCTTGAGCAACAACAAGCGTCAGCTCTTCTTTGCTTCAGTTCTGTCAAGCTATGCTATGCTGAAGTTTTGCGGCTAAAGAGTGGGCAGCAGGAAGTTGGTCTCCAACGCGATTCCGAAAGACTGGAGTCACAGGAGTGCTGCTGTGTCGTGTCAGGAAAGTGGGAAGCCTGAATTCTGAAGGCGTAGGTGCAGAGTCGAGAATCAAACGCAAAGGTGGACATGTTTCTGTGGCCTCTTGTGCTCAAGACGTTGTGGAATTAAGCCCGGTGTTTGTAACTGATGGATTGCATGTGAGTGGAAGAGAAGAGTAACAGACGCGAAAGTGAGATTTCGGATCCCCGCGGTTACAAGTTGGCCAGTTGGCTTGTCCGCTTGTGGCGTGCAACACCCTCTTCCAAAAAGCCACAGCTGGGGCAGCGAGCGACGTCACCCCACCAGACAATTGACGGCCTTGACTTGAAAGGCGGACCTTGAGCTGACAGACGGTTAGATGAAGGACACAAAACCAGCTTCGATAAGGACAGCTCTTTGTGTGTGATGATGCTGTTTCATCGCAGACATACGTAGGCTGAGTGCTGATGGGCTGAAGCTGAAGGCTTCGACCGAAGTGATCAGACGTGGATGCGCATGTCAAAACGGTGCTGTCGACGGGATTTGCTGGGAAAAGTTTGCGAGGGATCACTCATCTCGTCAGCGTCTGCAGGTTGCTGCCTGTGAACAGCGCCTTGCACAAGGACATGCTGCTGAACGAGACTGCGACAAGGTGCGTACGTGGTAGGCAGTAGATTGTCCGACGGTTCCGGCTTGTCCACGGCGTGATCTTCATTCAATGCAGGAGTTGTCGGGACTTCGACAGCAGGGAAAGGCAAGCGGATGTTCTGTGAGGTCCGCCTGAGCAGTTGAAAGACAGTTGAGGGATCTTGCTAGGATTTACGTCAGCAGCTGATGGCGCTTGAGAAGAAGGCCCTACCCACAAGTGCCTTGCGTCGGATGCGTCCCGAGGCTTCTCGGACTTTTTGTGGCACTTGCCAAGGTTAGCGACTTGGGTTCGGAGCAACAGGCAGGTGGACTGCAGCGTGTTGAGCTCGGATCCTCTTTTGCTGACCTGACAGGGCTTGATCAGCGCTCGGTCGACAATTCTTCGGCAGAGCCATGTAGATGGAATCGAGGCCGGAAGTTGCCCGGCAACGGCATGAGACTATGAAAGTATGTGAGAGGAAGGGCACTTCAGCTGGCCTTACCCTGGCTCTTGTGTCAGGTACCCTTACTGCGCGGCGGTCGCGAGGCCCTTCAGGAGTTGGTTGAGGCACGCGGACTAGTGCTGCGACCCTGCCTCCTTGGGATAGTTCTGCTTCCGCCTCGCTTGCGAGCATTCAGAAAGATCTCGTGAGCCATCGCGCGGTCGTATGGTCGCCCAAATTGCATGGTTCCACAACAGTTGTTTCGATGAAACGTGCAGGAGAGCCAGCCCATCGATGCACCGACGCAGAACTCCCCGCCGGGGGAAGCGGGACCTCTCGTGATCGACTTCGCTCTGCTTCCGGAGGACCTAGCTCACCGACTCCAAGATAACATGTGCAAGGGTCTGCTTGGCAAGAAGAGTGAATGGACATCGGAATGCATATCCACACACAAGCGACTGCGACCACCAAAACTAAAATTGTAGCTCGTGGATGCTCGTGGAGCTCGCAGTCCTGGTTCTTGTCTGAAAGCAGAAGCTTTCTGAATGGGATCTGAGAATCCGAGTCGCGAGAGAGCTTCGCAATGTCGCTGAAATGCAGAGTCAGTGCGATCAAATCGGAGAGTGGGCACATGAGTTGTGCTGAAAGGGCACCATGTCTTAGTCGTCTTGACCCTGGCTCCAGGAGAAGCGCGCCGCTTCCAAGGGCCCTGCGGCGCAGATGTTGGAGGAACCGCCCGAGGGGGCAGATTTTGCTTGGGTTGATCCGCAAGATTCCGCAAGTCAGCGGGGTTGTTCTGCAACTGTCTCTGCATCTGCCGCATCCGAGGACGAATATCGAGGCGAACTGGAGCGGCTGCGCCTGGAACTGGAGAGGCTGAGCCCCAATCTGAAGGCCAGCAAGTCACAACCAAGCGGTCCCTTAAATTCCGTTAATCTCGTGCCTTCCACACCCTTCCCTTCCGACCGATCCGTTTCCGTCACGGCCCCATGATATCGATATCAGCTTGCTGGAGAGGCACTTGGGCAGCTGCAAGGCGTCGCGGAAAACGTGCAGGACGGATGTGGACAGTAAACAAAGGGTTGCTTAAACTGCTCAAAGACGGCATGCCCGACGACACGTCTTTCACGCTTGATCCCATCTAACGGCAAGGCCGCGTCCCACGAAGCGGATGTCGCGCGAAAGGGCATCGAGGAGATCGAGGGAAAGTTTGAGGCAGTGCGAAAGGCCCGCAAGGAGCCGTCGTGCATTTTGTGGGGACTCTTTGGGAGGTTTAGCCTAGCACATGAGTTGTGAGCAGGTACCGCTTTAGGTGCTAAGAAGCAGCTGTCATCGCGCACTGCACCGGTCTGGACTTCGAAAGATAAAGGCAAGCGACTGCCAAATTCTGCTTCGACATGTTTCGACCCTGAGGAGAAGTTCATGGAGTGCTTTCAAAAAGTCTCAGCTGCCATCGGTCCCGTGTACAGCCGTCTCACGGCGAACCACGGAGCTGATGGTGGTTCCGCTTACCTGGATTTGGAGGACCTGCGCGAGTTGACACACACACACACACAGGTAGCAAGAAGTTCTGGTGACGAAGCCTGCATTTCAATGCACTAATTGTAGTACGATGTTGGGTACATTTGTGTTTCATGGCCAATCTGGGTACAGAGTTTTTGAATCTGGGCACATGTTGAAGAGTCTGTCACCTAGCTCAAAGGATACTGAAGATCCGTTCAATGGGGGCATCAAGGCTGGGCCCAGCCTGGTCTCCTGCACGAGTTAAGCTGCGCGATGTCCAGCTGCTCAGCTGCTCCTTTCCGTTTTGCAGTTGGGACAATTCGAGAAGTCTCGGGACTATGCCTATTCCACAGAAGTGCTGCCAGTTCACTGCGATGCCCCCGGCCAAGCGCTTCCGCGACATGCACCTCCTGTCAGGAGGTGAGCCAGGGCCTCAGCCTGCAGTTCTCTGTCCTTTGCCTTTCGTCCGTTGCGTCCGAATTCTTTGTCCTAGGCCATTGCCCATTGCATCGCTCCTGCTATGTCGTGCTTATTGGTTTGATCGGTGTCGCGACCACACTCCGATCTTGCTGCATCCTGCCCATGCTCCCACGGTTTAAAGCAAGCTCTACCGAACCCTGAACCCTGAGGCCGTAGAAGCCATACTCCAAAATCACCCACAATGCCTCAACCGAACGCCGCAAAAGCAGGGAAGAGCGGCCGCGGTAGCGATTTCGAGGGAAGTCGAGACTTCTACACCAAGCCCACCCCGAAGCCGCTCTAAGATTAAATCTTGAGGGAAGTGCGCAAGTGTCTTGCAGTCCTCGAATGTCCTGGACGAGCAGCGATTGCAAAGTGGTCACATCGTGGCATCGGAACAAGAGTCGAAGCCTTGCCATTGAGCGAGTGCTAACAAGCGCTAACCGGCACAGAGAGTAAAGGAGCCCCAGTTTCATGTGACGAGGGCAATGGCTGACACTTGTTGGAAACAAACGGAGTCAAGTTGTGTTTGATCCTGCTTCCGTGACTTGCGTCGCAACCGGAGTACCGTTGGTTCCACGCTTGAGGTTTGTGCGTGTGTCACAGCATGAGAAGGCCATGTCAGCAAGCGTTCGTGTCTTTCACGGCTTCTAAATGACGACATTTCCATCCTCTCTTTGCGATAGTCCCTTCCCGAGGAAGACCCTGGCGGCCATGGCATTGCTCTTCGCGGTGCAGGACTTCCAACGACCGCCATTCATGGTCCTCGATGAGGCATTGGGACAGTTTGCCACAACTTGGCGACCGCTTGCACACGTTTGTCGATTCCTGAGAGGTGGACGCAGCCCTCGATGCCAACAATGTGCGAGCTCTCTCCAGGTATGTCGAACAGGCCGTTGCAGTCAAGAAATATGCCGCTGACTGACAAGCCACGCCACCCTTGAGGCAGACTGCCAAACAATCGTGATTTCCTTGAAGGCCTGGTAAAGAGCCGCGTGCTCTACCGATATGTGTGTATCCGCCACAGCATCACCCGGCAGGACCGATTCTATGTTCGGGCAGATGCCTTGGTAGGCGTATGGAAGAACAAGCCGCAGGCGCGGCTTGAAGTGTTTGTTCTAACTTCCCTGGCTCTCTTGTTGGCTTTTCTCGTGCGGGTTCGAGAAAGGAAACCTCCGCGATCTTGACTTTAGACCTGCAGAAGTACCAAGAGTGCTCGCCTCAGCGACACTGCTGGCAGCAGGAATGAAGCTGCTCCAAATCTGTTGGTAGATGAACCGCAGTGTTACCTCACCTCCTTGTTTGCATGTGCCTCGCACGGCCCCATAGCTACAAACATGTTCGAGGTCAATGCAGTGAGAAGGCAACGCATGGACATGTTTCAAGGCGAGGAGGGTCCTCGCTTCCGCTTCCGCTGCACAGAATTGTTCTTTCTCTCACGTCGCATGATGTTCAAGTATCACAATTCGATGGCACAAGGGCCACAGCACTGTGGTGGTGCAGAGCCGTTACACCCCCTGACATCTAGGCCCGAAAAAAAAGGCTGCGGAGAGCCAAACCACACAAATTGACACCTCAGAATCCATTGATTGAGGCAGGCATTTGATGCTCCAGAGCAGTGTGTACCAGGAAGAACGGTTCTGATCAACTTACATCTGTCTTCCGAATAAGAGTGACGGCGCAAAGGTCTGTCTCAGGGTACCCACTTCCGAGAATTTATTGAGAAGCCTCCATGGAACTGACTTTCCTTGACGCTGCGCAGAGTTTAAGCTAACGCAGATGCCAAGCTAGGATTTACAATAGTCACGGCCGGCTTTGCATCACTTCAACGTGCGGCTCGGGTGCGGGTGATCGAGCACTTGGTTTTGTCGAAGTGGTCGCAAGATTATGGTAGCTAAAAGGTTGTGAATGTGTTCTGAAGAACGACTCGTGGGCCCAAGCATTGCTATCCGCTTTCGACAAAGCTCCACAAAAAATAACTTTTTGAGACGTCTGCTGCAGAAATGCTGCAGCAGCATCCGTCGTCAATCGTGATGCCTTTGGAAGGCGGTGGCATACTGCATGCTTTGGCATATGCACATGCAGCACCTAGTCCAAGTTAGGGTTACATCTGCTCGATCTTCGGGGTCATCACTGCTCGAGCAGCAGTTTTCCCACTGCCCGACAGTTATGGGGATGCACAGCTTGGTGTCTGGATGTGACTGTGGACAGTCACATCGTTCAGTGACACATTCCTCGCTGTGACGACTCACCGAGTTTCGCACATTCGGAGAGAAAGAAGATGCATGTTCTATGGCAGCAGCCTGATGGAGTGGGTAGACTCGAGCGCAGGAGGAGCTGTGTCGGACTTCGGGCATGTCCCTTTTTCGATGCAGAGTGGTTCATGACCCGACAGCAGCTGCTGCATTTCACAGAGCGAAGAATGACGCCTTCGGCCAATTCTCCTGCCTTCTGGGAGGCCACACTGCGTTCTCGCAGCTTCTGGCTCATGCAGCACATGTGTCGGGTTGTGCCCAGAACTCCAGCACCCTCAGGACCGTCACCACCCAGCTGCGCAGGCAGCACTGAAGCTTTCCCGAATCCTCGCAAGCCCTTCGTCCCTCTCGGCCTTCTGCGGCAGCCGCAGCTCATGAGCTCCGCTCTTCGGAGCTTCTGCGGCAGCCGCGGAGCTTGCTCCGGGTGTTCCAATGCCTCTGCCCGGAGCCTTGCCACAGTCTCGCTGATTCACTCGGACTCCGTATGACACCCTATGTCATGAGTGGCGAAGCAGCTTTTGTGACTCGCTCCTTGGTGTTGTCCGGTATCATGGAAGTACTGCAATTGGCAGTTGACTTCTTCTTGCTGCTTCCTTTGGCATTGCGCAGCCATTGTGTCCTCTTTGCCTGGCATGCAAGAATTTCAAGTGAAGCTTGCAGCCGTTTCAAAGACAAGAGTCTCGAACAGTCCTGAGCGACGATTCCTAGATTTCCAGCTTCTTAAGATCCAGGTCACTTTCGGTTTATGCATTCTTTGTGAAGCCATGGCCCACTTCTCGATCTTAGACAGCGAGGAGGCCAAAAACATTGCGGTTGTCCACAAGACGAACCAAGGCGTCGTCGTTGCTGTCAGCAGTTCATTCTATTTAACTCGATTTATGATTGGTTGTCTCAGGCTACTCGGGGAAGGACCTATGGAAGTTGAAACAAGAACGCCCAGAACTCTTCGGGGGTGCCGCAGCACCTGCAGCCTTGCAGCATTTCAGTACTCTTCGGCGGCTACAGCCGCATCAGCTGATTCGCAAAGGAATGTGCATTTTAGTTATCTGAGTCGTCGTCTCAGTGTCGTAGTAGGTTTCGTAAAGTAGTGATGGTAAGTAGTAGAAGCAGTAGGAGTAGTAGTAGCAGCAGCAG